TAATAAACCAAAATAGATATAAATAAAAATACTTTACTTGTCTACTTAATACATAGTTATCTTATCCATACATAAGTATAGTTAGTCAATTTCTATTATATATGATTGTAGAGTTAATGCATATTATCTGGGAGCACTGCTGAGCTATTGTAAACAAAGCAGGTTGGCTAGGATGAAGTTACCTAGACAGTATTAGTCCTTTGTTCCTGATAGTGTGATGTTTATGTAGAAGAATAAAGGTGTTTTGTGTATTTGTGGTATAAAGTTTATCAATATAGCCTCATTTGTTTCCTGAAGTGATTTCCTGACATCATATAGTGGCATCACTTGTGTAGGAAATTAAGTATAATGAGTGCTGAAGAGTTGAAAACTGCCAAATTAGAAAGAGCTCAGTAGAGAAGTAGAGAAATTGATTTACAACTTTAGCTACTTCAGTAGAAAAGAATATAGCTGAAAATGATCCTGAGTTAAAAAAGGAATTTAGAGAACTAGAAGCAAGAGCTAAACATCTATTAGAAATTGAAAAAAAAAGTAAGAGCTTTGATACTAGTTGATGAAAACATTGAGGAAAAAGAACTGAAGGATGAATTCGATGCATCCATAAGTTATCAGGACAAGTGGATTGAGATAAAAAATAAATTTGAAGATTTGGTTGAGCATTCAAATAAAACTTGGCATGGTGATGATATTTCAGCAACTATCAATTCTTCAAGAGAAAAATTACAGAAAGAAAAGGAAGAAATACTTTCATATAATCTTTTTGGAGATGTTGAAGTAAATTTGAGCATGATGTCAAATTTGAAAGTTTAACAGGTAAATTTTCTGGTGAAGCAAAGTTGAAAAACATAAAATTTTGCAGTAATATCCCTAGATCAAATGATGAATGCGTAGAGAGATATTAGAAAAAAAGAATATAACATGGAGTGATGGTGATGGTGAGAGAGATACGCAAGAAGTAGAGTTGATTCTTGCAGCAGTTGTCATGGAAAAAAATCTGACAGGAAGGTTAGAACCCATTACTGAAAAGTTGATAGCCACAGAAACTAGGTTAGGTTGGACAGTTATTGAGCTAACTAAAACACAGGACTGTACCATGCTAAGAACACCTATGAGAGGGAGATCTTTACAGCGCTTTGACTATAGTGCAAGTGAGTCTCAATATTCAGGGTAAGCTGGAATATTTACATTTTTTTTACAAAAGGGCACTAGATGATGGCACTAGATGATGATGGCACTACCAATAAGACCGGATCGGTAACAGTTAAAACAATAATTCCACATATTGTATTATTCCTTGGAGTAAAACCATCTGTCACACCTGCAGCTCGAAACAGTCTTTCCAGGAACATCGCAAGAGACATTATCAGGTCTGTCGTCAGCCAAAGATCCCCTTCAGAACCAGATCTTAGTCAGAAAAATACAAGGAGAGCAGTAACAACTGGTGGTAAGAATAATTCTTCATTGTCCTCTAAAGAAGTTTTCCAAAACTGGAAGAAAAGAAAAAAAAAGTAAACTACCAGCTAAGAAGAGTAGTGAATCTCAGAATGTTATTAGCCAGTGATCTTATCAAGACTCAAAAACGGAAGCATAAAACATTTTTTGAAGTAGTTTATTAAGTGTTATTAAATTAATGATTGCCTGTAAATTTTTGTATTGAGTATTTTAAATTTTGTTTTGTTATTTTAAATCAGTTAACAATTTAAAGCATAAATTGTAAAGGTCGGAGTATGTAGAGTTAATGCATGTTATCTGGGAGCACTGCTGAGCTATTGTAAACAAAGCAGGTTGGCTTGGGTGGGGTTACCGAAATAGTAGTTGTCCTTTATGCCTGATAGTGTGATGTTTATGTAGAAGAATAAAAGTGATTTTTGTGTTTTTGGTGTAAAAGTTTATCAACAAAGCCTCATTTGTTTCCTGTAGTGATTTCCTGACATAATATATGATATATTGAAGAAAACTGTAATTATGTTTGTAGAATATGAAATAAACATTGAAGTCTAAATTATAAAGTATGATTTTTTTTTTTAAATTCAAGAGCTTTAAAATTTGCAATGTTCATTTTTGTTTTAACAGCATTGTAATTGCCTAGCAAAAGATTAAAAAAAAAGAACAACTTCCGTCTTCTTTCTAATAAATAAAAAAAACCATTTAGGCCATCGTCCCTTTTCCATCGTCTTCTATCCTCATTACATGTCCATAACACTTCATTCTCATTGTTTCGTTGGTGTACAGTATGTTCTCTATTTGTTTCCTCATTTCAATACGAGGCGTGCTTCGACTTGAATCGTTAAGGCTCGAGTCGTGAAGACTCGGTTCTAGAGCCTTTAAATCTCGAACGTCTAAAGCTCGAGTTGAACTCTCATGGAGTTCTAGCCTTAATGAATTTATTTAAAAAAAAAATAAATTATTTTACATTTTCGTAAACAAATATATTTTTTCTGTTAGTTGTAACATTTTTTTAGAGAGAGAAGGGGAGGGGGAGGAGGTTAACTCCACCGATTTTTCTTTTTAAAGATAAAATGGCAATATGTTTGGATAGGTGGGTGATACTTTTTCAACTTTAATTTTTTTTTATTGTAGGGGCGAATTACTCCTCTCCCTCCTTCCATTCCCTTCCTCCTCCCGATTTTTTAAAAATGGTATGGTTGGTAGGTGGAGGGTACTTTTTCCTTTTAATTTTTTTTGGGAGGGGGAATCTCAATAACAAGGGGGAGAACAATATACTTTGTTTCAGTTAAAACTGAAATCATGTAGAACAGTTTATTCTATTATAAAAATCGTAAAATAATTTAAAAACGCCATTAACAAATATATGCTATAAACAAGTTTGGCTCAAGTCACGACTCAAGCCTCTTACTGGCGAGCTCTTAGGACTCGAGCCTTGCCCGAGTCGGGAAAGCTCGAGCCTTTTCGGCTCAAGCCTTATAATAGCCATCTCACCGAGCTTTTTTACAACATTAAACTGGACATATTATATATTTTCATTTGAATATTAGTGTTTTGTTTTTTAGTTTTTACATCATCGTTCTTAAAAAAAAAAAAGCTTCACACATTTCCAAGCTCATGTTAGTTTATCTTTTTATTTCAGAATTTTTTTTCAAGCTATATATCTCTTCGAAGCGATGGGGTAACTGGAAGCGAGGGTCCAGGTGAATGACTAATATATGTCGGAATGACATTGACTCCTGAAAAAGCTGCACGTCAACTACCAAAATGGAAGTCATCAAAGGTATTCTATAGGCAATGTTTTCCTGGGAAAGTGATTAATTTAAAAGAATTTGAATATTCTGTCAGGTTCGGGGCCGCGATATGTGATGAATGCTAGAACAAGGTTTAATAACTTTTCAAACATCCACTCAGTCGATTTAAAAATTAATAAAGCTAAGCTGAGATTGTGATGTTTAAATTCATAATAAACTTTTAAATTTTAAATATTTCTAACCGTATTTTCATGAAGTATCGAACGTTCTCATCGTGTAACAATAGCCAAGTGCTCTTATTTGAGAAACGAGTTCTTGAGTTCCAATCTACTAAAATGTACAATTTTTTATTGAAAAAAATATGGCTGGAGTTACAAAATCAATGGTTTGGTATGAGTGAAAATAAATTAAGAAATATCAAACGATATGTTAAAAATCCTAGAAACAATCTACAGACAGCTTTCACGGAGAGAAGAGGTAGTTCTTACCCGCCTCAGGATTGGCCATTGTCGATTTACCCATGGATATCTGATGAAGAAGGAAGAACCGCCAACATGTTCCTACTAAGGATGTATTTTAACATTGCTACAAATAATAACATAGTATGTGGTTCACGACCCAAACAAGACCTCAAGACATATTAAATTTTTAAAAAACTAACGACATATATAATAAAATTTAAAAAATAAAACTTCAAGTTACTAAAGAGACTTCAGTGTAAATGACCCCATTGGTCGAAACACTCAAATAAATAAATAGCATCATTTATTAAAGTTTATAAAAAAGTAAAAATTCTTTCCCATTTTAGAATACACAAAACACCCTTTTAGTAATTTATGAAATTATTTTTACATGATTTTTAAAAATACATTTAGGTAACATATGCCAATTGGTGAATCATGTATTGTATTGCCGATTCTCATAACTAAAAAGATAAAAGCACAAAGCTATAGATAGCCAGGTCAAGGTATGTCTGATAGCTTGGAAATAGTTAGAATGTTCCAACTGGACACAAGACCCATTATCAAGACCTAGGGAACAATAACAGATTTCAGCAAAAGGTGTCTGTCTCACAGACTTCATATCAATTCTAAAAGATAAGGATGCCAATTCTTAATAGTTAGTAACTTCTCTCCCACGCTTCCTTTGCCGCCCTCTTCCTACTTCCCTTCACCCTCTTGCTATTTTTGGGTATATAAACGCCATGATCCTCTGGACTAATCACTTTGCAGTTACATTCTTGAAGTCACACTCTTGTAGGAGACCTGGAGTGAATTCTTGTAGTCAACCCATATATTCATAGTATATTTCACTATAGTATATGCCATTTGTAACAAATACTATGAATAAAAATATTACTTATAAGGTCTTCACTGCCTCCGATTCGTTAACTGTACGAAAGTGCATTGCCTCGCACCTATGAGCTGTATCATGAACATAAGAAATATATTTTACATAATTATGACTGAAGCCTTTTGTATCTAAATAGGCGTGAATCTACCTTTGTTAGGTTACCAAAAAAAAAAAAAAAAAATAATGGATATTGTATATTTTAGAATCTATGTATTAGATATGTGTAAATAAAATAATACAGTGAAATATTCGTTTTATCCAACTGGTCCGATAAACATAATATGAATTTTTTAAATATTTGAATGAATCCATTAGTACTAGGCTTAAGTGATTAATATGAATTTGGACTTAGCTCATCATATCCATATATAAGAAAATATATTTTTGGAAACGCTTTATACTTTATAATCAATATTTATTATTGTGAATTTATTTATTTTTTTTTAGGATCGGCTCATCCATATTTTTAGTTTTATGATTGCGCCAGAGTCAAAGAGATCTTATCGTGAGAGACCCGGAGGTGACCGTGGCAGAGAAGAAACCAGTCGTGCGGGAGAACTTACGGACACAGGCCCTTTTTCCCTGTGTTGGCTTTGTGCAATGGGCTGAAAACGGAGGATAAGCTCATCCTTTCGGGGAAAAGCGCTCTGCCAAAAAAAAAAAAAAAGAAAAGAAAAGAAAAAAATTCTTTTATAAAAATGGACCCACAATTTTCTGAGGGTAGTGAATAGATATTCGCTATAAATTTACTGAATAAAATGAATACGATTTTTTAAAATTGTACCGAGCAGTAAATAATTAATTATAATTTATTAAAAGTATCGTTTTACAGAAAAATAACAAATAAAATTCGTTAACTGTGTCTGATAAACTTATAAAAATAATTATGTTGCAGTCATTGTTAAGATACAGATGAATTGTCATTTCAATGTACAATTAAATGTTTTTTTCTAATATCAACTGGGTTTTAACCTTATTGATGTAGCCTAATAGGTATTAAATATCGAATTTCCAAAATAGATTGAAGTTATGCGGTTTAAAGAGACTGGATTTGGAAGGAGTTCATTGCCTTAAATCTACATAATATAGAGAGTGTCTCGAAAATAGGGAGAAATATTAAAAATATTAATAGTAAACATTATGATCTACAAAGTTTAGTTAGAAATTTAAGATTTGTGTTTTTTATGCAAGTCACGTTCCTTGTTGAATAAGAAACGACAACTAAAAAAATATTTGAGAATGAGTTGATCGGGGGGTGCGGTCAAATAAATACTAAATTGTAGAAATAGTATTATTTAATTTTTTTGCCGTCGTTTCGACCCACTTTGCACGTCTTCGTCAGGGCTACAAAAGACACAAAATATAGAAGGTACATGGTGAAAATAAAATAAATGAATATAAGTAGATATAAAATTTTATAATCTATTAGATATAATGATTATATATCCACTTATATTCATTTATTTTATTTTCGCCATACACCTTTTATATTTTGTATCTTTTGTAGCCCTGATGAAGACCTGCAAAGTGGGTCGAAACGTCGGCCAAAAAATTAAATAATACTATTTCTATAATTTAGTATTTATTTGACCGCACCCCCGATCAACTCATTCTCATATTATACGACGGTCAACCATCTCTACATCATTAAACAAATATTTAATTTAAATAACTAACAACTGCTCCTCAGCAAACTAGACAAAATTTACTTAAAAACGAAAGTATAGTTCGTCATTGTTAAAACTATTTAAAGAGGACTATTGGACGGACAAACACTGCTAAGTTCCGTTTAAAAAAATGTCATAAATTATTTGTAATTGTTTAATGACCATATTAATGAAGTTAAAGTTTATTACGAAAATTTTTGAAATTCACCTCAAATTGAGTAAAGAAATTATGTAATTTTCTAACAAGTCACCAAGCGCCTTTGTTATCAACTAAAATGTGTACAATTAACTGTTGGAAAGTTTTTATTTATTTGTTTTCCGTGTTATGGGATGTTTTGTAGTAAATATAATTGCCTAAAAACACATTTTATTTATACAAATAAAAACTAATTAAGAATAATGATTTTTCAAATATTTTCAGGTAAAGTGGTTATGAAATTGTGTTTTTCTCTCAAATCTCCATCAAAGGAATTGATAAGTAGTTATCAGTGATATACCTAATGTTTCTTATTAAAATTTACGTTTAAAATAAAGTAAACGCACAGGATTGCTGCAATTATTATAGGGAAACATTTAAAAGGTATATAGTAGACATCAAAATGTACAAAAATAAATCATATTAACATTTGCCAAATTTCCAGCAGAAAAGTAGGAAATTTAAGATTTGTGTTTTTTATGCGAGTCGCTTTTTTTGTTGAATAGGAAACCGATAATTTAAAAAATATTTGTTTAAAGTAATTAAACATGAATTAATCAAACTGTGACAAACATAATGTTTTTTATTAAAATTTAAGTTTAAAATAAATAAACCTACAGATTGTTTCAATTATTTTCATGAAACCGTAAATATTAGGGATAAAAACATTATTTTTATCACTGATAAATATAGAGAAATTCCTCTGATAGATATATTGGAGAAAAACTCAGTTCCAAAAACACTTTACGCAAAAAATATTGGAAAAATCGTTGTTTGATTTTTTTTTTTTATTTTTATAAATAAATTGTCTTTTCAACATTTGCTCTTAAATTAAAATACATACCATATTACGGAAAAACGAAAATTAAAAGCTTTGTAACAGTTAATTGTATTAATTTTGTTTCTGAAAACACGTGTACTTTAAGGTGACTGGGTATAAAATAACATCATTTCATTAAAAAAATCGAGGGGAATTTCAAATTTTTAACTAATAAATCTCAACTTAATTAATACGGACTTTAAGTTTATTAAACGAGGACGTTTTTCTAAAAGCGGGGTAGCTCTTGTACAGTTGAAAGGGGATAAAAAAAAAAAAAAAGCCAAACAAATAATTCATGACTTTTTCAACGTAATTTAGCTGAGTTTGTCCACTCAATAGTCCTCTTTAAATGGTTTTAACAATGACAAAATCTACTTTACTTTAAAGTAAATTTTATCTAGTTTGCTGAGGAGCAGTTGTTAATTATTTAAATTAAATATTTTTATTTTTTTTATTTATGGCTTCCTATTCTACAAAAACGTGAATCGCATAAAAATGCAAATCTTAAATTTGGTGAATGTGGTGTAGTTTTTATAACATAGTCACAGTTATAAATTACCCATTCCTTAATTAACATGGCAGAGTTTTTGGGATGATTATCCTGACAAAAACTAAATTTGTTTTTTAGTCTTAGATTTTCCACATTTTCTTTCAAGTTTCTTCTCAAAATGTCTATGTAAACATGTTTATTCACCGTAATATGTGAACATTTTCACCATAAAGTTAACCAACATAATAATAAGGTTGCTTATACTGGAAGTCGCCATACACTCACACAAAATTAGAACATAAACACATAACATAAGAACAAGAAAAATAACATAAAAGGAAGAACGTTTTACAAGGATTTTTATATCAATATAAATTGAACTATTTATTCAATAATTTCTATCAATATTGGTACGTAGCATTTTGGCTATGAGCCACTGTATATTAAAAAAAAAATAAGAAAAAATTAAGACAACTATTTATTTATTTTATCGGTCATATTTAATAAATGGTATGCTCCCAGAGTCCAGTTTTGTAACTTCTAAATATAAGATTTTCGTTTCTATTCTCAAACAAAAATATCTAAAATTCAATGTTATAAATCAATAACCGCATCGTTGCACGAGGACAATATAGAAGTAAAATTATAAATCAGAAATTCAAGATAAAAAATTTTTGTTTTTAAATGATGTGGATAAGTGGAATGTAATATACTTATAACTAATAGAAAATGTTTCTCAATGAAATGATAATTTTAATACCTAATTAAAAACACTTCCATCCTAAATTGAATGAAAATAATTCCATTTGAATATTACAATTCGGGAGCCAGTTATTTCCTTTCGTTCCAGTTTTAAGCCATATAAATGAGAGAAATTCTATTCTAACGGGTAGATCAAAGGTATCGTTCACTGAGAATTCTATATTCAGAACTCAAAGGTAAGCTATGTAAATTATACCTCCACCGCAAAGGTTTCATATTCTATTGCAACCTATTTTGGCTCGAATAATTTCAGCAGTTCACAGACCTAGTAGAAAGGAATACAACGTGATATAGTGATATTTTATCTGCTTTAGATTTATAATGAAAATCATTATTGATATTTTTTAAATTCAAATATTTTATATATATATATATATATAGATAGATAGATAGAGATAGAGATAGAGATAGATTGATAGATGAGAGAGAGAGAGGGAGAGAGAGAGAGAGAGAGAGAGAGAGTAAGAGAGCTTGGAGTACCAAAACTCAGTAACAAACTAAGATAAATTATAAATTATTGGATAAGGCATATAGGAACTTGCATTTGTATGCCAATGTTGGCTATTTGTTTTTTCCCGTTCTAAAGAGTACACATTTCTAATCAAAGTATCGTAATCAAATAAAGATAAGGAAGACCAAAATGTATGTAGTTTATTAAATTTTAAATTAAATGATCTAATACCCGACAAAAAAATAATTATTTCATAATATAATTTTTATATTATTAAGATCGATGAAAAAATAATTTTTTATTATATATAAAGATAAATAAATAGAAAATAAGATAAAAGGTTTGTTCTGGGACAAGGTCCTCTAAAGGATAACAATTAAGCACAAATAAATCAAGCACATATCTTGCCGAAAAATAGATTAACAAGATATAAATTAACTTCAATAATAATAGAATAAACAAATAAAAATAAATCATCTCACGAACAAATATAATTATAATGAAAAAAAAAATCGGAACAAAAATAAGTAAAATAAAAATATAAATCCTTAATTGGCAAAATATTGATTTTATATTTTGAAAAATGAGCAGTGAGAACTGATATTTACTTCTATTTTATTTGAACTGATGATAAAAAAAACCGGTGCAACTTGAATTTTATATAAAAACCGAAGGTTAAAAAATTATTTTTGAGCCTAAAGTAATGGCAGGTCAAAGGGAATTACCTGGCATTAATCCTGCCGAGAAAATCTCATGATTCTCTCTAGGATTAACGATAACAGTATTAAAATAAAACATGGACTTCATATCAGTTTGTCTCTTGTTGCCTATTTAATCAGATTGGTTTTATTTATTTAGGTATTTAACATTATGGCGCCATGCACTGCTAGATATGGCTAGAGATGTCATTCCATTATGTTGGTTTTGTGTTTTTTTTGTTTGTTTTTTTCTTGAAATACAATGTTTCATTTTTATCAAACATTTTGAAGAGTGTGAAATGGTTTTGGATCTTATACTGGTTTCTCAGATGTTTGCGTTAATTTAAAACGACTGAAGACAGAGATACATGGCTAAAGTCTACGGGCTGCATGAAACAACGGTTTGCCGGACAGTCCACAGGTACCGTTAGACAGAAAGCTAGACCATATAAAGCAGACCCTACACGGTAATTCATGAATGAACGTCTAAAGTAAATTGTGAAGTTTCCTCATTTTTTTTTTAAT